CGGAAGATTACATTTGTCTAATTCCTATTAGAAATCGAAATAGAAATCTTTTATTTTCCCCAATAATTTAAAACTGACTTAAACTAAAATGATGATATGAACAATAGTAACATTCAAATAGTTTCTCATTTACTTTTGACAAAAAAAAAAGCAGTACTCCTCATTCTTATTTGCTGACGATAGCTTTTTATGTGTACACTTCTCACGGTCATTGCGTCGCAATCTTCCGAAGTTATATTACTGCTTCCAAAAATATTTATTTTTAATGGTTTTAAACATACAATAGTAATTGAAAAATGTGATTAGTAATACCTAAGCCTTTCCGACTAAATAACATCAAGGATGCTCCTTTTGATTATCGTGAAATTATTACTTTAGAGTTTGTATTTGAAACGATAATTTATATAAACGATTTTAAAGAGTTTTCTTTGTACTGAAAAACACAATAGTTCTTTACTCGTTGTGACACAAGTGGGAGTGCGTAAAAGTTTAGAAAGTTTAACAAATAATTTATATTTTCGTGAGTGCTTCGGAAAACTTTGTTTTTGCGAATCTTGTATATATGCCCTAGGAACCTTATTAGGGTTATTTTTTTAACTTTCCGTCAAATTATTATTATTATATTATTAATTAGCTTTTGAAACATACGCAGGTAAGTACTTATCACTTTAGATTGATACATTGTTGCCAAAAAAAGAAGCAACATATAAATGAATATGTCTACACTTACAGTAAAAGTGAGTTATGAACTTGCCCCATTTTTTTTAAAGTTATTTTTAATGCTTTAAAATACCCGAAAACCATTTCCGTCGCCAACAGTAGTAAACCGGTTTTTTTTAAATCGATTTGACCTAGATATTACATTAAGGGCGCGACCACCTTATCAGTCAATGCACTGTTCATTTAAGTAAAAGGTTTTTAATTTTTGTTTGTTTTTTGTTTGTTTAATTTAGCAGTCACCTATGCTTTAAATGCGGCATTTAATTTAACTGTTGCTTGCTACATGGGTATTTATATATTTGTGTACCCAATAATTCTATATGTTTGGTGAAAATAGAAGCATAGTGGTTTTTAAAAGAGCATAATATTGTCCACATGATTATAATGATTACTGATTCGTTAAATATGACTGGAATTTTATATTCTGTGTTAAGTCTCAACAAAAACGAAAGCCAAAATATTTTCATTTTAAATATTGTTATACTGGGTGTTATCAAGTTAAAGAATCTAGTATTTCAGTAAATTTAGTCCAAACATATCTTTCTTAGGTCTTAGGTCTTATTCAGTCGCAAAAATAGCAGAAATTACTTTTATACTAAACACAAATATTGGAAACAGTACTGATCAAAAATTGGTATAAACCAGACTATCTTTATTATCTACACTGTATCCCCAATTTTTTTAATAAAAAAATTTTAAAAATAAACTCCCAAAAGAACCGTGAATTTCTTCATAACTTGATTCAACTGTTGGAGCTTCTAACAACGCCCCTTGACTTGACACCTTTAACAGATAAGGAAATCTAATAAACCCAAAGTTTGAAAAAGAAGGGCTGCGTTTTCCCCATAAAAAATGTATTAAAGAAGTTGTAAGAATATGTTCGCTAACTCTCGTTTTTATTGATTTCTTTTTTTATAACCGGGAGAGGGAACATTTTTAATTAAGCTTGCTTTTCCAGATAATTTAAACATAATAATTGTCACATAGTCTCTTGATTAAAGAACCACTTGTTGGCAGAAGAAATTTCGAAACGATTCATGAAAATGTGAAGGTTGCAAAATCGGTGCGGCGCGTAGGTAATTATGAGTAATAACCCCGTAGTACATAAGAAAAGAAGTCGAAACGGGTTAATCAGCACAGAAAATGTGAATCAGTGAGTGATCCAGATTTCAATACTTATTAAGAAGACGATCACAAGTAAGCCCGAATCACAGATGTCGCAATATTATAAGACCCTTTTTAACTTGTCCGGTTTCTCACACCGAAAATCGGTCCACAAAGTCACAATTACGACCACAAACTCCAGTTTTTTTTTTTTGTATATAGGAGTGCAGCATTTACATAGGTATGCAATGCCTACATACAGACATATGTACATACATCGGTGTACACAGATAACATGTGTCTCTTTTTCCGTGGGCCTAATTTTCCGATAAGGTAAGTAAACACACACCGTGATAAACTCCGTGTAGGCAGCACTTTGGTGGAATAAAATACAGAAATGCACAATCCGCAGTTGATCTTTTCGAAAATGTTTGGCCAACATACAAACGAACGTAGGTGTGTGTGTATACCTTTATAATTCGAAGTTGAAGCCACTGCGCAAACCACTTTGCTGGAACCCACTAGCACTCGGCTTTTTCGTTGGTTGTTCGTTGATTCAGGGGAGATCACTTTCATCGGTTCTTATTTCATTCATCGCCGAATTCTCAAGCACTTAACGAGATTGCACATTAATTAAATGGCCAGCTGCCTTTAACGTCTTTAACTCCGCCCGATCGTCTATTACGCGCCAGACTGACCGTATTTTTACCTAAACACCGTACCGTATGAAAATGCCCACATCGACTAGATCGACTATTTTGGTTGGCGTGATCGAATAGCCGCGAACCGATTACTTGGCTTATCGAAATGTAACCGCCGAAATTCCAATCAAATCGATCAGCTGGTTGCTGCCAATTAAAAGTTGAAACAATCAAAGATATCACCCCAAGTTATTTTGAAAACCATATAAGTAAACTCAATTCTCGTTTAATCTCTGCAAATTAATAAAATTGTACCCCTGAATTGTTTACATAACACCAAATATTCAAATGATTAATATGGTTAGTTCAAAAGAAATAGAAGCTTAGATATTTGAGGTTAAATAAATAAAGTTGAAATAGTTTTCCCCTTAACTTTATTTTCCTGAGGAAATGGCAAAACAATAACATTAGGATATTAAGGAACATTAATATTTTCCATTTTTAACTGTATTTAATCTGTTTAATTCAAAAGGTTAATATTTTCTCAGTTCATATTGTCCTTTGGATAATATAAAAAGTATTGATTTTCAAATGCAGCTTATACGAAAAGAATGATAATACCAAAGACAAAACCGGCAATTAGGAATTTGAGTTGGTAAGTAAAAGAAATATGATACTTTAAACCGAAATTAAAGCCTTTTAAAATCCTTCTGAATGCGTTGACCTTTTGGTGAAATTATATACTGAAATATATTTAGTTCCTTATCTAATAAATAAAGTAATTTCCAGAAGAAATTCTTAAAGCCAACACAGGAAACCAAACATGGAACCCTGCCTTCCCCCATAATCCGCATTGCAATGGTTTCGCAATTTAAGAAATGTAAGCCACTCGATTGGGGAAGTTTCCTTTTTAAAGGTGTATTTTGCAGCTAATTCCACTGAAGTTTGTTGTGTATATTCCGTTTCTGGAAATCTGCTTCACCACATGGGGTTATGCAACCTTTAATCACTGTTTCACTTATTCATAAAACATTATTATCATGGTTAGCGGTCGACTTGAACGTATTTGTGAACAACAATACGTACGTACATATTTTTGCATTTTTCAGATAAACATCACTAGCACTTAAAATGCGTTTTGGCGTGGATTCGCATTTCGTCGTTTACACACGCAGTCATATTAAAACAACAGCGCCACTTTTGATTGAAACATACTTTTCCTTCATTCAATTGCAAGCTACCGACGCACAGTATACCGCGATTTAAACCAATATAAACCGCAGTCAATGAGAACAGAAATTCAACTGATTGGACTTTTCGCCAACGCAGTTGTCCTGGCCATCGTAAGTCCTTTCATGTTGCAACCACGAACTGGAGCATCGAACATCGCATCCGTCGAACGACAACCCGCCGCACCCCCTATTTCTCCTGAATGTTACAGGCACACCTGGTCCTGTAAATTAAATATTTCCAAATGAAAACCAAAAATTATGTTTAAAAACCAGTATTTTGGTATCAGGAATAAAAAAAATAGAGTAGCAACATGCTCGCGGTGAAATAATTTCAATATGAAATAACAATATGAAGCGGAAGACGCTTCCCCTGTCTGTTAAAAATATCCCGATATTTCATTTGTTGCAAGACCGTAATAAAGTATTTCCGTGTTTGTTACTTCTTTAACATATCTTAAAAATATACCGATATTTTTGCAGACAGTTTTGCTGGTTACCAAAATGCCCGACGCAAAGAATATGTTATGTAAAGTATTTCCAACTTCCCAGGTTCAAAAGAAGTTCCCTTTGTGGGAAGTTTGTGAACTTTTATTTAACAGAGAAATTTTGACCTACCTTTACATTTTAACCATAGCACCACTGGCTTCATAAATGGTTAGTTAATTTATGCCAAATTGTCTTTATAATATTTAAGTATTGAGTATTAAGTTAGTATCTGTAAAATATATATCATATGTTCTAACCAACCGACGCGTCACAATTTTTTAACTTAATAAAGTTTGTTTCAATACCGTAATAACATAGATCATTACAATATTAGGGTTTTTAGGGGGTGGCTCCACCTAGTGAGATTTTCCTGTAAAAGGTTTTCGAGTTTCCTAAGTGGAGAAATATTGGGATTTTGTAAGTTTCACGCAGTCCGCATCAAACGGATGCTGTAAACATCCTAGCCGATATGAATCATCCTATTTTCCGACTCTCTTGAGTAATTCTCTTAATCATTTTTTGGGATTATTATTGATTATTGATCATTGAACTCAAGGCAGGGCAGTCCGTTTTTGAGAGCCGAATCGAGCAGTTGAATAAATCGAAAGTAAAAGAAAAATAGTAATAGTGAATAAGTGATTATAAAAAATAAAAATAAATTTTTTTATCAAACTCACTAGTGAGAAACCTAATTTGCATTCTGGAAGGAGGAAGGAAAGGTGATACCAGATCGGGAAGATCTTGGATCTGTTTAAAAACTTTTTCCCCAATTTCGCACAAAAAATTTCTGTATCACTCCCGATAATAACTAAACAACTTACAAATAATAATTTTTATTTTCTGTGTTGGTCTTGTACGGTCAGAAAGTGTAAATAGTTTTTGAATAAATAAATTAACATTTTTCTGAGTCGTTTAAATCAGATGGATTTTTCCTCTTATATATCTTATTCTTAATTTTACTAAATGCAGTGCGGATATCCGATTGAAATTCGGAAAATGTATAATGATCTCTTTGCACAGCTTGGAATAGGGCGTTAAGCAAGTTTTTATATTTTGAAATCCCTATTTTTTGACTTTTCCCAGATAAATTCATTTCGAAAAGTAATTTTTCGTCAATTATTCTCTTCAGGTTTGCTGAGACTCCGCCAGGGATTAGCAATGCCTTGAAAATGGGAACGTAATGGTTGAAATTGACTTCAATCGCTTCTTCTAAGTTTTCCAAATCCTCGAATGATGTAACAGGGAAGATTGGTTTTGACTGGAAGTTGTCAATGTTTTCACACAGTCTTGAGACTCCCTCTAAAATCTTTGGGTTAGTACTTGTCACAATATTTTTCAAACTATTTAAATCGTCCCTTAATTTTTTTATTTCGTCAGCCAAAGCTATATTAGTTGATGATAAATCGCCGAACGGATCAATTTCATGGTTTTGCTGTTGCTGACGACTTTGAGCAAGGAGTTCTTCATGTGTTTTGTTGTCCTGAATTGGCATGTCCCTCTCGCTCATAGCCCAATCATCTTCAAAGCTTTCGTTTCCGGACTCGGGTTTGGTTATTTGAAAATCCTGGCTCGAAAGTTCTATATTTTCCATGACTGATGCATTGCTGGCGGTAGGACCATCTACAAAGAAAGGGAACGATAATATTTAGTCATCTCAAATATTTTAAATACTTTAAAATGTTGTTTATTTTTATTATTAGGTAAGAACACGACACAATGTCAAGTGCTTCTACTATCTACGAGTAAGGGTGTAACATGATAACAAGCATACTTCGGCAGGCCGAATATTAACACCCGTGAAGATTTTTCGAATAAATATGTGACCAAAATAGTTTTAATACAAGGTATACAATGGAATATTGTCGGTAACAATGATGCAGTTTCCCATATCTTAAACTTCCCAGCAGGAAAAGGAAGGTAGAAAGTAGCTTGCATTCCAGACACCCTTCCTCTAAGCCAGAAGGCTAAGCCATCTAGGCGACCCTATTCCTTCTGGTTTCCAAATCCACGGTAGTGATTCCATGCTGGTCCCCTTCTCCAAACATCACTTGTTATTTTGTACACTGTATAGAACCTTTGCCGCATTTTCCCCACTGTCTTCTCACCATTTGTCGTGAAGCGACCGAGTTTTTGAGGTCGATATGATAGATGCTTATCCCCGCGGGATACATTTTTGCTCTTGCCGGGAGTACGTTCTATCTGGGTATCCTCCTGTTGATTCTCCTTCTGGAGACCTTTGATCTTCAGCGATTCGGCGGCTTTCAGGAAGGAATTCAGCTGGCTTTGCGGAATGTGCACCTCGCCGTGATACATATAGAGCATTAGGGCGCGAAGTTCCGTGTAGCTGACATCCTTGAGCATAAAGATGGGGTGTTTGTCGTACTGTTCCTGCAGTAGGGCCTGTGATGGATGGTAATTCAATTCCTTGAGAATGCTCCCATTTAGCCAGGAATATAATATACTCACCGCAAAGTAGGGACTGAATGCCGACAGCACCAGTTTGTGGGCCTTGAAGTACTTTCCTTCGGCGGCGACGGTGCAATCGGCCAGGGATCCGTTCTCCAGCAGATTTTCAAACACCCCGACCAAAGTTGCCTGGTGGTTTTTGCAACTCAGGCACAGCTGATGTTCCATTTCAAGGATTAGCACAGGTAATCTGAAAAGTGCAGCAAGAACATGGAGACTAAGTTCCGTCTGATCTACAGTAATAAGATAGAGATGTATACCCTTTCCTGTAATTTATTGAATGCTGTCCGTTTCCAATACCGCCTTGTTATAAATAAATATTGTAAATCCAAAACAAAAAGACGCTGAATGTCGCAGTGTGACCAGACAAATAATTCAAAATCTTACCAAACTACACAAAGGGCGCCAACTTTTTAAAAGATAATTAAAGATTAGGGGTATTCAACGTAAAAAAATTTCAACGGTGAATAAACGATACAATTTTTAATTTATTTTGGTAAAATTATAAAGGATACAAAGTTACAGCTAAAACACGTTAAGTTCTACACGTTTACATTTAGTATAAGGTGCTCAATATAAAGTAACAAAAAACTAGAAATAAAGACAAGTAAAAAAAAAATATTAGCTTCATTGGTCTTAATTTTGGATTTTAGCCGGGCGATGTGGTCCTCATTCTCTTTCAGATCGTCATCACGTTTCTGGACTTTCTTTCTTATTTCAAAAAGTTCAGCGTCCATGTCTTGAACTGCACATTTATATTTGGAAATTTCGGCATTCAGATCTTTAATGTTTTTCTTATATTGATAATTAAATTCTACAAGGCCGGATGTTTCCTTTTCTTTAATTAAGGCCTGACTCTTGCTCAAATCAAGTGCATTTTTCAGCTCCGAAATTTGACTTTGAAGTTGCTTTTCACCTAAATCTTTTGTTTGATTAGTTAAATCGAGCGACAAGTTTAAAGTCTTTATTAAACCATCTTTATAATTAGACTTTTCTTTTTCACTTGACAAATGAATTTCTGAAATTGTTAGCTTCACCACCAGATCATTTATTTTGGTGTTATTCTTTCTAATAGTCTTTCTTAGTCCTTGCACTATCTTTTTTCGATCGCTAGCCATATCTTCAATATCCGAATCGCTGCTGAGCTGCAAAAAAAATGTATGTGATCTCAATACTCTAGCGCAGTGGTGCCCACTGGCCAGACTCGCGAGTTTGGGAGTCCTCTGCCGGCGCTCGGCCACGTCTTTGTAAACGGTCGGCGACGTCGGCTTACACACACAAATTCAAGGTTACATTTCATTGTATTTGTGTGAGCACCACTGCTCTAGAGAAATAACATTATATTTACCGAATTGTTTTCAGTGGTTAAATCTTCCACTGAAGTCAGAGGATTCTGCGACGGTTTAAGTAAGTTGTCGGATTTCATTGCGACAGTGGACAGTTTCTTGTTTTCCCAGATGCACTTATAAATGGTATTGAATGCTCGAATATATTAAAGGTGAACAAAATGTAAGCAACACAGGTGGCTCTTCATCATTGAGTGTGGCCAGACTTTATCCACAAAAGGTGTATAAAAAAATAGGGGGGTTCTTGATTAAATAAAAAATTCGAGTTTGAATTTTTTTATGTACATTTTGACTGTAAAAACGCAGGAGGGGTGTTTTTAATTTTAAAGTTGTAAAAATATATATATATTTTTTCATATGCCATTGAATTTATAGGAAAATGTAGGTTTGTAAGTTCATCTACATTTTTTGGCAAAATGATCTATCCACACAAAACATTTTTAAAATTCGGAAATTAACTTTTTTTGTGATTTAGTTTTATATAGGAATTAAAATTTTTCTCAACCACATTTGTTTCCATTCCGATATATGTAGATACATACATTTATATAGTCTTGGTTATCATACAAAACATTTTATTTGTTCATTGCAAATATTAGTCTAAAAATAAGTATATAAATTCACGGTTTTGACCTGATTAGCATTTTACACGATTTCAAAGAACATCTGTTTCCCAAATTCCAACGGCCCCACCAAATTCCATCCCAGGTGTCCAACTGAACTTTAGATCCGCAGTATTTTCCGTTCAAATTGCTGAAAAAGTAAGAAACGTTGATCGTGTTATTGCACTATATATTCAAATCAATTTTTTTTATCAAATCTTCAAAAAGAAATCATTGTGTGATTAGAAAAGTAAACAAACCAATGCTTGCCATTTCCTTTCTTAAATAAATAAGAAAAAGGTAGTTTAACATTTTCCAAAAATTTTCTTTATAACGGTTAATATACTTTTAAACACTCCTCAAACAAGTATACGTACCAATCATTTCTACCCCACCATTTTGTACTGGGAGTAAAACCAAAAGTATGATCGTGAATGCTTCTTTCGTTTATATGACTCCGCAAAGCATCGCCCGCATTTCCTGAGTATTCACCAAGGGACATCAATTTGTAATTATCTTTTGGGCCTCCAACAACGAAGTTATCATATCGTGCAAAAGCAGTAACATTGTCAAAGTCGACTAGGTGGATATACAATTCGAATCTTCGATTTGTCGTCATCCTATGCAATTTTTCGAGGCCAAGCCAGAATTCCCCGCCCAAGTCTCCACAACCGTTGATTAATTTTTTAATTATGTCCGCATCGAAGCTTCCATCGACTCTACGTTGAATGATCATCCAACCAGCACCGGCTGAAGGAATATCTTCAAAAACTGCTGCAAAGGGTTCGAAATCAGGAAGCGTTACCAACTTCATTGAAGGCACTTTAGAAGAGTTAAGAAATACGTGCGATTCAGTTGTGTCCTCAGCATCTAGCGTATACGCAGCCAATTTCTTTTCCATTTCAACTAGTTTGTCGTCCTTCTCCTGAACCACACCCTCCAATTTCATAATTTTCAGTTTCGATTCGTCTATTTTGAATTCAAGCCTGGCGATTTGTTCTTCTTTTTCTCTTAGGTTATTTTCATATTTCTGTGTTTTATCAATCCACTCAACAAGTTCACCGCTCTTCTCTTTCAATTTTCCAATATCCGAATTTAACTCATTGTTTTTCTTTTTGTGTTGATAGTTGGAGTCCACTGATCCCGATATTTCCTTATCGTCGTTGTCCTTCATTGAAGTACTACTCTTGCTCAAATCAAGAGCGACTTGCAACACCCCGATTTGACTTTGCATTTTCTGTATGCTCAAGTCTTTTGTTTGGTTAACTAAATCGATCGACATTTGTAAGGTCTTAATAAAGTTATCTTTATCCTTTATACAACTTTCAAGTAAATTGACCTTTTCCTTCTCGGCTTTGAAATGGATTTCAACCTCTGCCAACTTTCGCTCCAGATCGGAGATTTTCCGTTCGTTCTTTTCTTTACTTTTCCGGAGTCCCTTAGCGCTTGTCCCAACAAACTCCATATCAGAATCACTGCTGTGCTGAAATATAATGCCGCATACAAAAATTGCATCGAACTAAGTGCGTACATATGTACATACATATGTGTATTGTTACTTACCGAATTGTTCTCTGTGCTTGAGTTTCCGGAACATGGCTCTTTCGACAAGTTGTTCATGCTATCGGGTTTCATGCTCAATTGCTTAACATTAAAAATGTCCAAAATAAAATTGTTAATGCTTAATTTGAATATAAAATTGTAAGTGAAAAGCGACTGTGTATCAACACAAAATCACAAACTGTCAGCAATGATAATACATATGTCTTTGTCCTCTGGTGTGACCAGCTATTATTATAGCGATAGTGATTTTCGACTGATAAGGCATAACTTATAATTAGGGTATTCCCAAGAATTAATCTCATTCACGATTACTAATCAGCCTTTTGAAGTTGTTCCCTAAAAAAAAATTCAACAATTTTAATATCCCGGTTCAATATTTATATATATTTTTTTAAATTTAAACACCATTTCAAGTTTTATTATTTATGTAAAATTAAGAATATTTTCATGCTTCCTGTTAACCAATAAATGCATCCTATTCGGTCTTCCGTCTGGAAGAGTTATAAGACCACTGAGATTTCTCGAGTCCCTGCCATATCAACCTATTTTAAAACATTAGTACGAGGTCCAATTCCGATTCCCAAGATTAAAAACACTTTCAATATTTCCAACATTTTCATAACCTTTTATTGTTGTTATACTTTTACGCACATTAACATACCCGTCATATGAAAATGTTTGGCAAAATATAGCTTTGTAGATTGATCTTTAATAATCGCTTAACGCACTACCACACAAAACAAAAATCAGAGCTCAATCGTTAAGTGTTAACAGTTTACGCATATTTATTTTTATGTATTGGGAACATCCAGAGAAATCAATATATAAAAAAATATTATGTTTTTGTATGAAGCCCTTAATTTCTACTGTTGAAATTTATATTTCAATTTCTGTAGCCATCTCCAAATATTATTCAAGGTCATCGATACTTGCATTTCCAGATGAACACTCTATAATTTTGGCACCGTCAAGCTGCTGCCCAGAACTTTGCCCCAAAGTGATTGGCCCATCGTTACCCTCGGCCGCCCGATTCCCGAACTCCTGCATTTTGACGATCAGCATCGCGAATACTTGAGCTGGAAGGGAGGATTGCAGCACCTGCAGCAGACGAGCCGGCTGGCCACACACCACGATGGCATTAGCCAAGTGCTCCACGCCAGTCTCGAAATCTCCACGGGCGATCAGGGTCTCGCCCAGCTGGATTTCTTGTAGGAAATATCTGAAAAAATTGGAAGACATTTATCAGTTGGGGAACGACTTTTTTCAATTGCATAGAGTGATATATGAATTTCCCATTTAGATATTATCAAGCCGTTTAAATTTTATGGAGACAGAGGTGAAAGGCTCTTATCTTCTTATTGGCAACTTTTAACATCTTACTTGATCAAATAATTTAATAATAATAATTTAAGCTTGATTGATTTGCTGCCGTAACTATTATTATTTGAATGTTAAAATATATTATAATACAAATATAATATTAAAAATGAAGAATTACTTTAGATTGTAATTCCAAATAAATTAAGTTTAATAATTATCTTGAATTTGTATTTCAAAAGATCTTTGATAAGACCGACTATCAAAAATCAGTTATTTGCTTCTTTTACTTATAAAAACTGGGTTGTGCTAAGGGTTTAAAACAATTTTTTGGTGCACATCACCACATTTCACTTCACTTTTCTACCAATTTGGGCGGTTATAATCCCAAAAGTGAAACTTTTGTTTGGTGGTTACAAAATTTGTGTGTAATAGATTCGTTAATAAGGCGACAGAAACTTTCGCAACAGTCATCAAACATATGCACCAAGACCAAGGTTGGAAACAGCCCCGCGCGAGTTAAGTTCTGAGGCATCCCCGAAAACTGCGTTCAGTCGGACGGATATGGATAGATCGGCTCGGCAGGTGATCCTCATCATTAACATAAGTACTAGGGTGGGTCGCTTAAGGCTTATTTTTCATCCGTGTTGGGATGTCACTTTAGTCCATAAGTTTGTTTGCCAACATAGCTTTGAATCCTTTAAAGTTTTCGTTCCCCCATACAAACTTTAGGCACCAAAATCGAACCACCCTAATGTATGTATACTTCTGTACATACATATGTACATCGATTTCGTTGGAAAAACATGGACTTGCGTGTATGAATGGAGCTGCAATGTATCGGCACCACTACACGTGCCGCATTATATAATATAATTTCCATTGGGGAATCCTACCTTTCAATGGCTTCATGGTCGTTCAGGTTTGGAATACCAGGCTTGGCAGTGCCGCTTTTCCGGTTGCGACGGCGACCTAAAACGTGATGAAACGTTAAGTTTCTTTCATAATTTACTTGGCCCTCTTAGTTCTTACGCTCACGGACTTTCTTCTTGTACTCGGGGTCATTGCGGCGCTTCTTGTCGAAGTAGATGCAGTATCCAATGAACAGAGTGCCAGCCACTCCCGCTGCAATGCCAATTGCAGTTTTGTTCATTTCAATCATTATTATCTCGCCTTCAACTATTTTATTTTACATTTAGTAGTGCAGTGTGACTGTGGACTTGTCAATCAATAATCCCGTCCGGAAATATACTTTTAATACCATTTCAATTTTGTAAATATACCAAAAATATACCATTAAATAAATAATTTCAAAACAATAAAATAGTTATTATAGTTCATTTAAATGTTGACCTTATAAATATATAAATGGGGAAAACATTGATATTTATATAAGTTGGTTTTAATTTGAACATAAGAAATGGTAGGTATCGATTTTGCAAGATGCTGTCTCTAACACGGAACTGTATTAACTAAGATATAATTTAATTGTTATCATTAATATTTGCATTTATAAATTAGACATTGGGACATTACACATAGTTCCGTTTACCATACGTTCAATAAAGGTTTTGTCCTTCCGAAAATTTACCACATATAGCCTTTTCCCACTGAATTAATTCGTTTGGAACAGTTGGGATTTTTGTCAAATGTGAAACCCGAATTCGGAAAAAACACATCCACTAACAGCTGAAGTGAACTGCTGTTCCTCATCACAACATAAACAATGGTGGGCTTCAACTTGGCGAAACTGTTATGTTTTTGAACCTGCTCTTACTTTGTAAAATATCACAATATAATGGTTGCCCCTTCTGAATTTAGAAAGAATATCATTTAGATGGCTGAATAAGGAAATGCTGAGCCTACCAAATGCACTCCTTCCAATCTTAGTAAGCTTCTAACTTTTAACTTGTAATCTTGCAAACAAATAAACAAACCAAAAGCCTTTTTGTCATATATTTCAAAATTTCACATTACAGGAGAATACTTCCAAAGCCTATATATTGTTAAAGTGCCTAAGTTCCTGAAAACTTATTTCATATGGAACAGCTGATAAAATGCTGACCATATAACAATTTGGCAGTTCAACAGCTTAGCTCTATCAAAACAGGAACTCGAACCGTTACATTTTTATTAAAAAATAATCAAATTTTCAATAATCAATGCAAAATTAATAAAACTTAAACAAATTTTGAGCATGGCTTTTAGTCCGTACAGCTTACCCTGTTGCTTTAGGTTTCGTAAAAATTCAATCATCGTTCTTTACTTTCACCCAAGAACATCTAATTGACGCAGAACCATGATGAATTCCAAAAGCTAAATTGATAAGTTCCAAACTGAGAGTGTGTGGTTGGGCCCAAGAGTGTGGATATGTGTATATATGCGCATACATAAGAGCCTATATGTTTGTATTCTGTAAATATTCATTTCTCTTTAATAAATAAGTATTAGTGGCTCGTTGTTAGGTTCCCTATTGAACAATTCTTTCACTTAACCCGGGAGCACTCAATCGACAGTAACAGTAACCATGCGGAGCTTGTGGCTAAATACGTTGACCAAGCAAAGTAAGATAAAATAATATTAAAACTTTTACTGAAACTGATAGGGTACCGTTCTAGGTTTATATCGGTTGAGTACCAAGAGGTACTCCACCAACAATGAGCCCAAGGAACCCGTGGTAAAAACTAAATCGATACCTGGCCCCAAATCACTTGAGCTTAAAAAGCAACTGGATTCTGTTCAGGTGAGTTTTCTTTTTTCGTTATCAAGAGTTACATATATTACTCTTTAAGCTCATACGTTTTTCTTTTTACATCGGACCATATACCCCACTTAAAGATAATTTTTTAGACAGCCCAAAGTGTCTTATTCTTCTGTACGCTATTTATTTATTAAACCAATTGCTCTTTTACAGGCCACCGGAACCATCCAATTTTTTGCTGATTACGAAAAGTCCATTGGAAACTACATCTACGATGTTGATGGAAATATTTTACTAGATGTCTACACTCAAATCTCATCAGTGCCCTTGGGTTACAATCATCCGCGACTTTACAATGTTTTTAACAATGAGCAAAACGTGAAGAGTACGTAATCATCTTTATTACAAAATTATATACCTTTTATACTGTTATATACTGTTTCATAACTGAAAATCTACGTTTGACTCTTTTCAGCTTTGATTAATAGACCAGCCCTTGGTGTCTTCCCTGGAAAAGAATGGCCAGAAAAGCTACATTCAGTTCTTTTAAACATTGCACCGAAAGGACTTAACAAAATCACAACGATGATGTGCGGTTCGTGTTCAAATGAAAACGCATATAAGAGCATCTTTATCTGGTAAGATTTAGAAAACATCTTAGAACAAGCATGGAAATTTATATAGTTAGCTGTAAAGTAAGAAAAATAACCATGGATATTATATTATAAAAATCAATAAAGCTATTATGGTTTTTTTTATATTTTACCTATAGGTACCAAAACAAACTTCGCGGTAACACACCCCTTACCGAGGAGGAAAAGAACTCTTGCATGATTAACATTCCACCAGGAGCTCCAAAACTAAGTATTCTCTCATTCAAGGGAGCTTTCCACGGGCGTACTTTAGGTGCCCTCTCCACTACACACTCAAAGTATATTCATAAGCTGGATGTTCCTTCCTTTGATTGGCCTATTGCCTCGTTTCCGGAATACAAGTATCCTTTGGACGAAAATGTAGCGCACAACAAGAAGGAGGACGAAAAGTGCCTTAGCGAAGTACAGGATCTTATTCAGCAATACGCAAGCAAGAATCCTGTCGCCGGAATAGTGGTAGAGCCCATTCAAAGTGAGGGAGGTGACAACGAAGCATCGCCCGAATTCTTCAGGAGTCTTCAGGCTATTTGCAAGAAGAACGG